TTGAGTTCTACAAAAGTTTTAATTTTTTTAAATGGAAACCCATTAAAAAACCATTTTTCTCATGAAGATTATGATCTAAGAATTACAACTATCTACTTTATATTAAATATAAAATTTTTTTTCACATTTTTACATACAAAAATGCAATTTTGACAAAAAAAATCAAATAACTCAAAAACAATACAAAACTTCGTTCTCAAAATACGTTCATATTTTTTATATCAAATACTTTAATTTAAATTAAGTATTATTTTCTGTATGCTTAGTTCCATACTTTATATTCACCCTGTATAAAACGAATTTCAAAAGGAACACAGCGATGGAATAAAAGTTTCACTTAAAAAAAAATGACATAAATTGTAGTTTTCACAAACAAAATCGCATAACTCAAAAACAAAACAAAATAATGTTCACAAAATACGATCACATTGTTTTTTAAATATGCACAAATATGCAGTATTTCCTAAAATATGCATTTTTTAATTGGCTTATTTTAATCAAAAAACGTTATACAGGGTGAATAAAGTATGGAATTAATTTAAATTAACGTAATATAAAAAATGAGATCGTATTTTGAGAACAAAATTTTGTATTGTTTTTGAGTTATGCGATTTTTTTAGTCAAAATTGCAATTTATGGAAAAAAAAATTTGAAAAAATTAAATATGAAGTAGATAGTTGGATCCTTGGATCATAATTCATAACCTGTATGAGAAAAAACAAAACTCAAAAACAAAAGAAAATCTCGAAAAACTTTATTCTTGATAAAACATCACATCTTTAAAGTACTTTATCGTTCATTAATTAGTTTTTCCAAAAAATTATTACTTTAATCAAAAAACGTTTGGTTCCATACTTTTTATTCATATAAACCTCTTAATAACAAATCTGCATTTTGCATATAATCTGAGTCTTAGTTATTTGTATTACAAGGAAGGAAGTGTATCCTTTCCTCTCAAGGTGAAACATAATTTTTGCTACGACCTAACAAGAAAACACTTCTTTTCTGAAATTGGGGCGGAAAAACTTTCAGTTATGGTAAAAAAATCAAATTACAAATCATTTCAGCGTTTTATCTAGCAGATCGAGGATATGAGGTTTGGTTAGGTAACACGAGAGGCTCCTATTACTCCAATAAACACGTCAGTTTATCAATCGACAATCCTGAATATTGGGACTTTGAGTAAAATCCAAATTAAAATTTTTGTTTTCTTACTTGGCATAAATTTCAGTGTGGACACTATTGCGTCCATCGACATTCCCACTCAACTCAAATTCGTTTTCAGTAAAACCGCTGAAAAAATCACTTATATCGGGCATTCCATGGGCACTTCAGTCATTTTCATGTATGTTTCAAGTAATGTGGAAGCTGAAAATTACGTTAAACAAATTCTTGCTCTCGCACCCATCGCTTACATTAACGATGTTCCCATACTTGAGTTTGTGAGGCCTTTAGGATCGTTTTTGGTCGTAAGTCGTGTCAAATTTCTATTTAAAATTAGTTTTTGTTTAGAATATTTTAGATTTTGGCGATGTCACTGGTCTGTTTTACCATGAGGACGCAATTCATGGTCTATTAACCCAAATTTGCAAAAACACAGCACCTGAACTGTGCTATATTCTTATCGGTCTCACGTCGGGAAAAACCCTTCAATTTCCACCTGTTGTAACAATTAATTTATCAATTGAAGCATAATTAATGATTTCAGGACGACCTCTTGCTGTATTACAGTTATTGGCCGGGTGGAATTTCCATCTACATACTCAAACAATATTTGCAAATTATTCAAAGTAAACAATTTCAAAAATTTGACTACGGGGCACAAAACAACCAACTTTACGGCACGAAAACACCCCCAATTTACAATCTATCGGAAATTACGCTACCAACTCATTTATTTTACGGAGAAAACGATATTTTTTACAGAAAAGAGGTCGGTTAATTGGACTTGTTGTTAAAAAAAGTACATTTTTATTTCAGAATATTGAACGGCTATACGACGAGATAGGGAGTGCAAAGAAAACAGCATTCTCAGTTGGCGCTGACGAAGAAATGCCTTTTGACCACATCGACTTTCTCTTTTCCGAAAATCTCATACAATTTTTGTACACACAAATGTCCAATATTTTGGACGGGAATAAATAAATTAGCTTATTTCCATAGCAATTATTGACCATTTCTATGGTAAACTAGCTGGTTTCTATAGCAATTGACTGTTTTTACGGCAAACTAGCTTATTTCCATAGCAATTATTGACCGTTTCTATGGTAAACCAGCTAGTTTTAACTATTATTTTTTCCGAGGGGCCGTTAACTCTGGAAATAGTTGTACAAATTTTCGTAATTGCTTGAAATTATTTGGAATTATTGAAATTATTTTAGGATTTTTTGGAATCACTAATTATTTGTAAATTAATGGAAATTTTCTTGACTTACTGATATATTTTTTTACAATTATCGAAGATAATTTTTTTTTGAAAATTGAGTTGAAACTATTTTAGAATTACGAAAATTAAGTTGGTATTACAAAAATTAATTTGGAGTTGTAGAAATTAAACTGAAAACAATGGATTAATAAAATTACTGAAATTAAATTATGGTGAAATTACTGGATTTGAACTTCTTGGAACTATTGGAATTAATTTAAAATCGGTGAAATAATTTAAAAATTACAATATTACGAAAATTAAATTGAATATTACAGGCATTAATTTAGAATTATAGAAATTAATTGAAAAAATCGGATTATTAAAATTACTGAAATTAATTGTGGTGAAATTTTTCTGAAATTACTGGAATTTTTTTAGAACTTTTTAAAAATTTTGTTGACTTTCTTGAAACAATTTAAAATTACACGAATAACATAAAAACCACGATATAACGAAAATTAAGTTGAAATTACAAGAATTATGGGAATTAAATTAATCTCAAAACAATGGAATTACGATGAATTAATAGAATTACTAGAATTGAATTACCGGAATTACTTGTAAATTATTACAAAATTTCGTTAAATATTTCAGAAAAATCGTAATTAATTTGGAATTACAGAAATTATTTTTATATTACGAAAATGAAGTTGTAATTACGGCAATTAAGTTGTAATTACAAAAATTAGTTTAAAATTGTAGGAATTACGATGGATTAATAGAATTATTGAAATTAAATTTTGGTGGATTTTTTTTAATTACTTATGGGAATTATTTGTAAATTACTGAA